GAAAAACTTAGAGTACTTTACCAAATTTGTAATTTACAAACCAAAAAATATTTAAAGAAACCAGTGAATAAATGTAAATAGGGAAATTCGCATTAGGCGAATGCTACTTGCTTCAAGATGACGCGGCAGATTGCCCATAGATACAACTGACGCTAATTTTCCGCTATATGATCAATCAGATGTCTGCTCTATCTACTGGTGCGTGTTGTGCAAATACACTGTATGTGCGCTAAACAAAATGAAGCAAGATAACATTGTAGAATACTTTTATAGACTTCCTATCTAATATATAGGAACATTTAGGTCATCTTGTAAGTTGTGTGATTGCACCCCATGCACTAGGTCCGAGAACGTGCATTGAGCGGCTATGTCTACACCAATAAAATACAGCAGAAATTCTACAAAAATTGGCAAAAACTGTAGAAACAGTAAAAGAGGATAAAAAACTATAACAATGTCCTACCCACCTGATTTAACTGTTTAGCGTCAATATGCACAACGCGAGCTTGATAACCCGGGCTTAGTATCCGTCCATTGCTCACAGGAGCCATTGAAGGAGTTGGCTCCAATGAAAGCGCATGAAATGTCTTAGTTGTCAGCACTCGCTCCGTTACAATGGTTCTCTTCTTTAGACCGGTATTCGGGTCCGTAGTTACAGAATCCTGAATTTGCACTTGTTCATCCTTTTTCGTGCGATCGTCATCGTTCTCAGCAGAGTCGGAAACAACAACAGCATGAGGGTGGGGCGAGTTCTTGTCGGATTTCCCCTCGAGGTGTTCAATGCGTTGCAGAAGTGCATGTAGACATTTCCCGAGATTGTCTGCATTAGCGCGTAAGGCTGAGAGTTCATGATTGTCGTCCATGAGCGCAGTACACGTGCGATTAGACGGGACAGCCAGCTCCCAGCTATGGGCGGACCTGCTGAAGCGATCGCCGCCTCCCTCCAATACCTCGCTCTCCCTCCCCCCGTCACTCCTTCGAGAAGAATCGATGCGCATGACTCTATTTGCAACGCGGGTAGTGCTTGCACATGGGTTTTCGCCCTAAGGCTCACGCATGAAAATCCCTCGCTCTAGCGTTAATAAACCGCTCTAGTGCTGTCACCTACCAAGATTATTTTTGAGGCGGTCGAGGACCCGCCTTCGCGGACTACTGAGCCTTTTTAAGCG